TCCGCCCCATCTGACCACCCCCCGACCTCACTGAGTTCTGGGCCCGTTCTAGGCTTCTCTCTGCCTCCCCGGGAGACACATGGGCCGGGAAAGGTGGCTGTGACTCCTGAAACAGCGCAGAGTGCAGGAGTGGGACAGGCCGCCAGGTGGGGATGCCTGTTCACAGTGAGCATCGTGTGTCTTCTAGCCGCTAAAATTCCAGTCACAGCTCACAGGCTCTGGGCTCTGACAAATAACTATTTTCTCATAAAATCAGCAGCGTCTAATCAGGAAAGTAAGAGTTCATGTGACTGGAGCCCGCAGCCTTTCTGGTGTGGCTCCCACGGACGCCCCCGGAGGAAGACCTCGCCAGGACAAAGCGACAAGCCAGCCTGACTGGCCTGGGGATTCCCAACTTCCCAGAGCCGGCCTGCTGCACCCACCGGATGCGCCGTGACGTATGAAGGTGAGAACTGCTCCAGCCTCAGATAAACCACATGGCCACACACGTGGGGCGGGGCTGGAGGAGACGGCGGGAGGGGCCTCACCGGGTTTCCCGTCTGGGTGACCCCGATCACGAAGACCAGCTGGGAGGAGAACAGCGCCCCGATCAGGTTCCTGTGGATGCTGTGCACGTTGGAGTGCAGCGTCCGCACCAGGGCCAGGAGGACAAAGGCCACCAGCAGGGCGGCCAGGGACAAGGACACCGCAGCGTAGGTGACGATCTTCAGGGGCAGGACCTCTCCATGCTGCAGGCGGGTTGGTTAAAGACAAGAGCACGTAAGGGCCGCGGCTCTGATGGAGCTTTGGCACAATAAACTCACATTAACGTATCGATTATTACGGGCAGGAACGACTGTGACCACAATGTGGTTATCAGGGTGGAAAACACCGAGAATGAAACCCCAATGAATAGTTGGAGAGAGACAAAGAGTTCCGGAGACGGATGGTGGTGATGGTCCCACAAAACGTGGACGTACGTAATGCCCCTGACCAGCACCCCTAAACACGGCTGAGATGGTGAATTTTACGTTAGGTAGATCTTGCCACAATAAAAAAATACCAATAAGAAAAAAACCTCACACAGAAACCCTGCTGTATAGGAGACGCTGAGCTGGTCCACCTAAATCCTGAACTGGAAGAGACTCAGTTTACACTAAAGGCAGACGGGCCACTGCTGCTGGGGACTGCCAGTCTCCTGTGCTTTGTACAATGTGACCCTTGTCCAGGACCCAATAACCTGTGGGGTTTTGGCATTTGGGGACCAAGACACTCTGGTTCTCTGGTAACGTCTAGAAAGCACTTTTCTGAACTCAGCTAGAATTCTGAACGGGGGTGCCCAGCAGAAAGCTGTGGGGGCCAGGACTGGGCTGGCCTCAGGCATTTTTCCTTTGCAGCTAACTTGGGTGTCCCCTGGAGGCTGCAGTCATGTGACTCCCCCACAGTTGGAGGGCTAGTCAGAGATCTGGCCCTGAGGCACCCCGGGGTGGGGGTGGCCTGGGAACCTTGATCCCTGCTCTGTGTTTTCATTTCTTCTACCTGGGTTTCAGCTTCTTGGCCATGGGAGGACCCCCGAACCCCACATGGACAAAGAACATGATATATTCACTTTCTCCAGGCTGGGACCTGCTGCAAAGTGCAGCTGTCAGGGGAAGGCCTGAGGGCGCACAGCCTCCCAGAGGCCACTTTCTCCCCTTATCACCCTGACACCCATCAGCAGCTGACTCAGCCTTCCAAGAATGTGACAGAAACATGGACGCTGCGTACCAGAGAGCCCCTGGGAGAGACGCTGGCCTGGCCTCTTGGGACAAAACCCAGGCCTGAAAAGGAGGCCACAGTGAGGTTACCCAGAACCCTGCTCTGGCTCCGAGACTCCGGGTCCCGACCCAGGCTGACCTCAACACCCCGCCCTGCTCGGGCCCCAGTGCCCCACAGAGGCCGGCTTGCATTCCCAGGCCTCTGAAAATGCCCGAGGTTAAACATTAGCCACCCTGCTGCTGGGTGGCTCCTGACTGAGCCTCCTTTGTCTTTTGGGGCCAGCGTGCGAGGCTGGCGCTGAAGGGAGATACTCCCTTTGTTCCTGCCAGCCGACTCTTTTCTTTCTTAAAATTTAAAGTGGGGTAGAAACAGCATCATCTAACAGACCGCTGAGAACCCTGCTTTGAAGTGTGGTGTCTATTCCAGGCATTTTCCAGTCTGAGACTAGGGTCTGCCATCCGGGTTTTTGATTTACAACCTGGCCTCTTTGAAACCCTTTTAAGAGGGTTTTGTTATGGAAATGCTAATAGATCTGGCCAACTCTCCTCGAAAGGACCGGGCTTGGTCAAAGGACTTGGAAGGAAAGACACAGCTGGCTAAGGGGGCAGGTTTTGGGCTAGGCTAAATGGACACACTTGCCAGGTGGGCAGGGTTGCCCCTGGGGGCCGCACCCACCTCCCGCCTGGAGACATCCATGAGCACCGCAAAGCTGGTGGTGTGGCTGCACTGGCAGGTGACGTGGGTCCGGTTCCTGGACAGCAGCTCACAGCCCTTGGCCGACCAGCCTCCAGTCCCACCGGTGCTGCAGAGAAAAGGCGGGGGTGAGATGGTTCCCTTCACCGCCAGGGTCTCCAAGGCCCTCCTGCCCCCACTGGGGTCTGTGCAGCCTCCTCACTGTGCCGAAGACAAGCACCACTGTCACCCGCTATGAGGACGCAGCCCCTGCTCCACTCGGGACCGTGTGAACGCTCTCCCTTCCCTTTCGTGGCTGGTGAGAACCCCTAACGAGCACCCTGTGAAGTTCACGTTCTGTGTGTCATCAGCAGTAAAACTTAAACGGGACGTCTTGGGTCCACCACACGCCCCTTTTGTTGGGAACATTAGCCAGTTGTTAAAACAGCCGCTTTGTTCTTCAGTCTTCTTTTGAGTCTAGATGACTTAAGAAAGAACATCTCACGTTCGTTTTACACTTTCATCCTTAGATTGCACAATGTTTTATGGCCAGTGCCTGGCAGCAGGGCCCAATCATTACTCCTGTTTTACTGATGGAAAGCCCCAAAGGACAAGCTGCTACGTGTGTGTCTCGGCCTCAGAGGGAGCCCTGCCCGCCTTGGTTCTGGGAAAGTCCAGTCATTGCTCTGATGCTCAGTTTACTCATCTGTAAAGTGGGACGTGAAGGCCAATGCGTGTCTGCCAAGAACGTTTAAGACCCGGGATGATAGGTGCTGCATAAAGCAGAGAGGATAATTAGAGCCGCAGCTAATTGCCGGGGTTCAATCAAGTGACCATGGGAGACAGCCGGCCTCATGCAGGCCAAGCAGACCTTCACACATCGTGAAAGGGCGTCCTGCTCTCTCTCTTTTGTAAGCCAAGCGTCTATTACAGCGCAGACACTATGTGGCCGGCTCATTAACTAGAATTCGGGAGGAGGGAGAGTGACGCACAGTCTTTGCCGAGCCGAGCCCGCCTCCCCGTGTGAGCCCGTGCAGGCTTGGTGTCTGCTTGCCCACCCACCCCAGACGCCAGCACCCAGCAGAGCCTCCACTCAGCAGACACCCACTCACTCTAGTGGAACCAGGATTTGGGGGAATGTTTGTGTCGCACAGGAACGAACTCCCAGATGCACCAAATTCCATCCTAGCTTCAAGCAGGGGACGGGCCAAATGGACTCTGCTGAGGTGGGCACGGCCTCCGAGGGGTAAAACCAGCTTAGCAGCTGCTGTGTTGTTCTCTCGGGTGGGCCAGGTGAGGTCAGGAACCCCCGTCTGGTATGGGGACCCCCCATATCTGGGATTTCCCACTGTTGGCAGAAGGGCCCCTGGGCCCAGTCTCTAAGTCCTGTCTCCCATGTGTGCCCAGAACAAGTTCCCGCATCGTTTGGTTGTGGACTGGGTGCTTGTCAGCTGCTGTCTCATGGAGTCCTGCAGGTGATCAGCCCTTTCTCCGTGTTGGCCTGTGTGTACACGTGTACATGTGTGTCTAGGCGTGTATGACCATGCGCATGTGTGCTTGTAACCAGGTGTGTGCACACATGTTTCCGGGTGCCTGTGTCGGTGTGCATGTGTGTGTACATGCATGTGCACATGTGTGTAACTATGTGCGTGTAGGGGACTCTGACACCCCAGGACAAGCCTCTTGCCTGAGAGGATGGAAGGGGAGCAACAGATCAAAAGGATGCCACACAGAACCCTCTGCCAGTGGAGCGTGGGGACCTGCGGGCACACTCTGGCCTCAGCAAAGCCCCCACATGGGAGCGCAGAGCTCAGGGGCAGGAGGCGGCCGGCCCGGCTCCCGACATCACGCTCACGTGATGGAATGGTTCCAGAAGACGCAGACGGGCTTGGTGCGCTCCTCGGTCTCCAGCAAGGCGAACTCCACCAGGACGGGCCTCTCCAGGGGGCTGGGGAGCGGGGTCCCCTCGCTGTACAGCACTGCGCTCACCACTGGGGTGTTGATGACAGGCCGGTTAGGCAGCCTGTGTCGGAAGGCAAGAGCACAGGGACAAACACGCTTAGAAAACGACCGTTTGCCTGTGTGCAAACATGGGAGGACACGGGACAGACACCTTTCGAGGAGGGATGGGACCCCAGTGCGCAAGCTCAGGGCCGGAGCCTCAGTGGCTGCATTGCGCTCAGTGGAGGCTCTGTCGCTGGTGAGGCACACTCAGGGAGTGGGTTGCCTCTGCGTCAAAGGTCAACTTTGGAAATACATAAATGAAAAGAAGGTCTGTGCACAGACATGTTTCAGCCCCATATCTTATCACAGCAGAAATACCGGAAATCACCAAAATGTCCGATAAAAGGAATCCGGTGAATAATTACAGCTCCTGGTGGAATCTCATCCAACTACTAAAAAGGATGAACAGGAAGACTACAGACCCAGGGAGGGATTGAAAAAGGATACTAGAGTTGAAAAAGTGAAACCTGGGTGTGTGCCCACTTCTCATCAGGTCCACAAAGCCCCTTTGGGTGGCATTCGCTTTTCCAGCCGGTATTTATCAAGCAGCCCTTAGTACTGGGTCACCAGTGACCCAAGGAAAACCGGTGTTGGGGGACAGACCCCCTGAGCAGAAATTACATTGCTGAGCTGGTGCGCCAGCAACACCCACTGAGGCACGAGGTGGGGTATAGGCTGGGGAGGGGGCGTTCCTGGCAGAACACGAGGGACCCTGCCCATCGGGTGGACCTAGAGCCTCTGTCTAAGGGAGATGATCAAGCAGTGATGGCCGTATACAGATGCTCAAGTGGTCAAGGTTTTGATTTATGAAAGGCCTGGGAACCCCCAGAAACGGTCCCTCCCTGTGCCCCCGGGGCCGGCCGTACCGGAGGCTGCGGCGGTCGGGGTCATAGTGCTCAGGCAGGAGCTCCCCCAGGGTCCGGTAGATGATGACCAGGGCGACGGCAAACTGGCCAGGCTCATCGGGGTGCCTCCTCTGCCGCCTGAACAGGGCCTCCCTTTCGGCACTGGGTCCCGGACGTGTGGTCTGTGGGGCAGCCTTCCAGCTGACCGGCCTCACCATGGGACCCTCTGCAACGTGAGAGAGAGTGTGAGGGTGGTGCTGGGCCCCCATGTTCCTGCCACATCACTTTTCACTTGAGCAAGTGCTTCCTGCAATCAGATGTTCTGCGGAGGCGGGAGCGTTGCCTCCAAAGATTAAATACATAGCCACCATGTGACCCTGCACCCCATTTCTGGGCATGTGCCCTGAAGAATGGAATCCGCCCGTGCTCACAGCAGCACGATGCACAACAGCCGAAAGGCGGAAGCAGCCCGTGTCCGTTGACGACGAATGGATAAACACAGTGGGGTCTCTCCGTGCAATGGAAAATTATTCAGCCTTAAAAAGGACACTCTGACACACGCTACAACATGGGTGAACCTTGAGGACTTTATGCTCAGTGAGATAAGCAAGTCAAATATTGTATGATTTCACTTACATAAGCACCTGGAGTGGTCAAATTCATAGGCAGAAAGTGGAATAGTTTACTAGAGGCACTAACTCCTCCTCCCCCAGGAAGGCTGCCGTCTGCCCAGGGGCATTGCATGAGAGGCTACGGTGGGGGCGCTGGACAGCGCCCCGGGCATGGCGGCTTCTCAGGGGTGTCTCATGACCCCGGAGCGCTCCAAGGAACAGAGAACAAGCCCGGCCCCTCCCTGTGTTTGCTCCTGACCCCAAAGGAATCTCTGGGGCTAAAGCCTTAGTTTCCCCCACGACCCAACTGGCTCAGTGTCTCTGACTAACCAGTGGGTACCGGAGGCTCCCCTCGGGAGAGGCATCCGGGGTACCTCACCCCAGTAGAGCAGGCAGCACTCCCCCACCACTCTGTGGGCCAAGGGTGTGCCAGGACGTGGTGGGGCGAGGCCGGGGCTGGACTGAGCCTGCCTAGGAGACAGTCAGGGGAAAGAGGGGTTTGGGCCACGGTGAGAAGGTCAGTGTCTGAGGGTGGAAGGTGCCAGCTTGGCGACGCCCAAGGGGGCGGGTGAAAGGTGGGCAGGGGCCAGCCTTTGGTGCCAAGTCCTGGTCATCCTGTAGGTGGTGGCAGGGGGAGCAGATCGTCTGAGTAGGGACACCTAAGCAACTGTGGGACACCAAGGGGCCTATAGGCCGGGCTGCACCCACTCTACCTCCTGCAAGTTCATCCACACAGCCTCACCCACATCTGTGGCTAAGGGGGCCCGGGGTGCCTGTCTGCTTCCCTGCCATGGGACGAGTCAGGCGTTTGGGGGAATTGGGGGCCGCATCTTCTCATCAGGGGATAAATCGGCAGGGTTTGCTACGTGGTGACTGTGCCGGCTGGCATTTCGGTGGGTTGAGTAACTGTTGAATACGGTGCTGTGCCCAGGGCTGAGGGGACCTGGCATTAGCCGGCAGCTGTCCCAGGAGGGCAGGGGGCAGGTGCCGGGAGCTCCTCCCACAGGGCTTCCTGGAGCAAATTAGGTTCCTGCACATCCACTTCTGACCACAGGCCTGAGAGAGAGGGTGACCCTGTGGTCAGCTCAGCAGCAGGAACACGGACGACGTCAAAGAAAGAGCTGCTTTTAGGTCAACATGCTCAGCAACACGCGTGTAACTATGTAAGTACTGCTCCCGAGGACAGATATGAGCGGAACGCTGTTGAATGACGAGAACCCAAATCAATCCCAAATTGAACCCAGTTTGAAAGATGGGGTTAGTGTCAAGCTCAATGTACCACCAGAGTAAAACCCTCTTTAAAAGCTTTTGAGACGCCTGAATAATCACCACGTAACTGACAAACCTACTTCCCTACAAACCTTCCCAATTTTACACTGCTCGTTACAGAATTTTTCAAGTCCACGTTGTTTTGAGACATTTTCAGTAGTTGGAGTGGATCTGTGAAACATACTTCAAGAAAATTCAAAATGTTTAAGCCGTTTGGTGTTCTAATCCTAACCAGGACTGAAAAAGTGCACACAGAAGTTTCTGATTTGATATTTTTGACTTTTTTTGGGGGGGTGGGCGTGCTAAAATTTCACCCACACGTATTAGCCACTTTTCACTGCACAGCTCACGCACAATTTAAGTGTCCTCTCGTTTGTCACATTACAAAGTAGCTAAATATTTGTAAGACACGACCCACCATGGCCACTCAGGTCTGATCCCAGCAAATATCCCCGGCCGCCTCATTTCAGGGAGGCCCACAACGCGCACCCACAGGACATGCTCTGTTGTGAGAACTGGTTTTCTTATTCTCCCAGGACTTTTCACAGTCCCCCCCCCTCACCCCCGCATTCAAGTGGCAGGGTTCCCCAGGGGCAGCCCTGGTTTCTAAGAGACTTTACCTCTTCTTTCAGGTGGTTTGAAGAAGTCGGCCGAGAAGAAGACGGAGGACGCCAACTCTTTCGGGAAGTCCTCACGAATGTCCTGGAACCGCGGCACCCAGGCTCCCGTGAAGTTAAACTTGTCAAAGACGTCAACAGCAAGGACTGTGGGAACAGTGGGTCCATCGCACAGAGTTCACAGCCCTTCCCACGGAGCCGACCGGAACTGCTGTCCTGGACCCATAATCCTTAAACCAGAATCTACCTTTCGGTTCGTTAGACCCGCTGAGATTACGCAACAGGATTCCCAAATGGGAAGGGGGTGGGGTGGGGGGAGACGCGTGGCAAGTTCACCTGTTGAATGTGACACCTGAGAACCATCAGGCTCAGGTAGGGACGCTGCTTCCGGATTGATAATTGGGTAAATCAACGGGCCACCTCCTGGGAAGGGACAATCCCTTCGTTTTTCCCAAGTGCCCCCACACAGGACTTAACAAACACTTGCAGGAGAGAAGGAGGAGTCACCCTCCCATAGGTTGGGCCCCCCAAGGGCTCTGCCAGCTCTGTCTGGGCCAGGTGGGGGCTGCTTCTATCTCCGGGGCTTCCTACCCTGACCCCAGAGCAGCGTGTCCTGGGTGCTGGGGGGACTTGGCTCACCAGGCGTTTGCTCTGTTGACAGCTCTGTCCCTGCCCAGGCAGGGTGGGCGTTCCCCACCGCCCCGGTGCCTGGCTGCTCTGTCCCACGTCCCTCCGTGGGCCTGGGCCTGTCTGAGTGAGTGTAGAGGGCTGGACCTGAGGCCAGACCCCCACGCCCACTTCCCCAGACTGTCTCCCACCCGAGTTCTGAAAGGCTCGAGGCCACCACAGTCCTGCTGGTGGCACGTTGCTTCCTCGCCGTCTCTGCTCAAGCCGTTCCGGATGTCCTGGACCCGGGAGTGATATGTGATTCTGTGGATCATCTTAGGACAGGCTGGACCAAGAGGATCCTGTCTCCCCATTTACAGAGAAGGAAACCGAGGCCAGAGCTGCTGACCCTTCACTAAGAGATGGCCATGCTGGTGCCGTGCACCCCGACGGAGCTGGGGTTCTGCCCGCGGAGCGCACCCATCCCCCCACGCTGGCGCGTGGCCCTTACTCATGTTGGGGGTGACGATGACAAAGGGCCTCAGGTAGGTCCTGCGCAGGTTGCGGGCCACGTTGCTGAAGTAGGCCTCGAAGCGCCTCAGCAGCTGCGCCACGCCCCCCTCGCTCCGCTGGATGTGCTCCCACGCGGCCCTGGTGCCCGGGGCCAGGAGGGCGCTGCCCGTGTGGACGACATCCTGCTCAGACAGAGGACAGACAGACGGCGCTCAGCTCATGGGTACAGTCAGCCTCAGAGGCCTGGCCGCCGCAGTGGGGGCTCCCAGGTTTTGGGGGACCAGGCTGGGCCAGGACCGAGCGGCGAGGAGACTGCTGGGGGTTTCATCTCAAAGGCAAGACACAGTGTGTAGGGGGAAGCCCTGCTGGGGGTTTCGCATGTGCATCCTGAGACACAAAGGGCAGACGCCCTGGTCACATCAGAACCCCAACTGCACCAGGTAAACCAGGTGGTGGGAACCGCCAACCCAGCTGCTGAGCACACAGTGAGGCAGCCGAGGACACGTGGCAGGTCACTGCGGATGACAGTCCTCCCCTGCACACTTCAAGGTTTATGTGAAGGGGGAGCAGCGTAAAGCATGAGGCAGACACGTGGCTGTACATGGGGGCTCGGGAGCCCCAACCCAAGACAGAAACCTGGACAGGAAACTTCGTTTTGCAAAGAATCAGAAGTAGGAACGAACTCCAGCAGCCCAACCTCTCAGGCCTGGATTGAAATGCAAGTGAGAGGACCCTCCCTGCTTAGGCCCTGGGGGCTCTCCATGGGTGGAAAGGTCCCTAAGGGGCTCTGTGAGGACAGGGAGGCCCCCCCAAAAGCTCTGTGAGGACAGGGAGGCCCCCCAAAGGCTCTGTGAGGACAGGGAGGTCCCCCAAAGGCTCTGTGTGGACATGGAGGCCCCCCCAAAGGCTCTGTGTGAACAGGGAAGCCTGGAGAGGAGGAGGAAATGGGGTGACACTTTGCCCCTTCCAAGAGCATCTTACAAATGTCGGGGAAATGAGTCTCCTCACAGTCATTGAACAGATGTTTCTTAGGAGCCGATTATTTAACCGAACATAAAGCAGGAGGGTCTGTGTAGGAGAGGTCATGGCCTTCTGAAAGCTGGACCTCGGGGGAGGGTGCGTGTGCGTGTGCGTGTGCGTGTGTGTGTGTGTGCGTGTGCATGTGCGTGTGCGGGAGCGGAGACTCCGGAGCCCCACCCCTCACATGCTGTGTGCCCTTGGCACTCCGTGACTCAGTTTCCTTATCTGTAAAAGGGGGCGATGTGTGTGGCAGGGTGTGTGTGTGGCATAAGTGAGCTAATTCGTGTAAAGCACACAGAGCATCGTCTGGCCCGCACTAAATGGTCAGCTGCTAGCGGCCATCACTATTATCATCACGACTGTGACCCACACACGCCCTTCCCCAAATGCTCCAAACACTTGTAATCAGTCTCGCCGGCCCCTGCACTGGCCCAGACTCACATCTGAAAAGTGAAGTTTTGCCGGAGGACCCTGGGTTTGATGATGTTTCACAGCCGGGCGAGGACTCCGGCTGTCCCCTGAGTCCCTGCAGGATGCCTGAGCTCACAGGTCGTCCCCGGGCATATGCTGGGCTACCCGAGGGGCGATCCTACCTCGTGGAAGTCGGCGTCCCGCGTGGCCGCCAGCTCGAAGCCCTGCTGGCGGCTCTCATGCTGCAGGATGCGGGCCAGCAGCTGGTAGGCCGTGCGCACGTCGTTGCCAAAGGGTGTGCCCGTGTGCTGCGTGGCGTTCCGCAGCGCCTTGGCCAGCCGCAGGGACCCGTCCCCATCCAGCTGTGTCTCGTTACGGCTCAGCTTCTCATTCTGGAATGAGGGAGAAAACGCGATGTCTGCAAACCTACCGTGGTTGCGTGGGGTCCATCCTGCTTAGAAATTCACCCCTTTCTGGTGGAAATTTCCTTGTCAGGAAAGAACTGAAGACATCTAAAAATCCAAAAATGAGTTTGGGCTGATAACTGTGCATGAAACAAGACAGACAGTCTGACAGGCCAAAAATCACCTGGAAAAATACACCAAGCGGAAGTAGTGAAAGCGTATGAGGCCAAGAGAACAGGGCAAGGTGGAAGGGTAGGGGACTTGACCTTGGGGACTTGGAGTTTGCAGAACAGAGCTGGGTCCTGAAGGGGAAAGAGGAGACGGGCCCTGTCTCAGGCGCCCACAACAGACGGTCCTGAGCCACGCCCAGCCTCTGACCAGCACGGTCCCTGCTGCCTCGACGCCCACCCCCTCCCGGTAACCCCGTCCGCACACGGGTCCCTACCATGGCTTTGAGCTGCACAAAGGAGACGGTGGTGCAGTTGAAAAGCTCGGGGGGCAGCCAGCCCTTCTCCCCACTGCAGTGTCGCACCGCATTTCCTGGGGAACAGAGAACAGACTCAGGAAACCGAAATTCCAACTGTTCATGCACGCTGGTTTGTCCGGATGAACGCAAGCCCAGCGTGATGCCCAGCCCTCGCTGGCCCAGGGCCAGGCAGGTGCCACAGCCACGAAGCCAAGAGCACTCTTGTCTCACGCCTGGGGCCACAGCTAAAGCTGCCTGGCAGCTGGCCTGAGCCCAGCAATGATAGGCGAACATCTGAGCAAGGCTGTGAAAAAAGAAACCAGCTCAGCCGTTTGCCCAGCACCGACAAAACCCACGTGCACGGCACGCCTGCCCCAGAGCAGCTAGGGCTGTGCGCGCTCCCAGCGTAGTCTCACACGATCCCCAACACCCCTCATGGGGGGACGCAGCTCCAACCCCATTTTACAGAGAGAACCCCACACTGAGTGGCGAAGCAGCTTGTCGAGTGCCCCGGTCACTGTGCTCTATGTACTATGTACTTTCATTATCCCTTTCCAGGTTTTGTCTACGACCAAGGAAAGAGTTTTATTCTCCCCCAACGCTTTGGCTGAAGACATTTTTTCAGCACGGACCACCCGTGAGCTCTGCCGCCTCGGCTGGCTCTCCTGAAAGCTGCATGACTCTGTCCATTTCCTTCCGGGAACGGATGCCACAGGCCACTTACCCACAGATCCCTTGGGGCATGGCACTGCAGCCGGCTGCCCAAACTTGGTCTGCGGCCACCAGATGCCGGCCTCAAACGCTCTGGGACATCCACTGTAGATCACTGGGGTACAGAGGAAAGATGCCCTCAGCCAGGCACGGCCGTGCCCAAACTGTGCAGCACTCTTCGCACGCTCCTCCCTGAAGGAGGCCCTGTCCCCACTGAGAACTGACCCCTCGCATCTTCCCCCCACAGTGTTAGAACAAATGGGGGGGTGACCCAGGCTCTAATGATGCAGTCGTGCAGGGCCAGGTCCACTGAGGGCCAAGGACACAGTCAGACCATGAAGGCAGGAGAGTTCTCCAAACCCCAGGTGTGTGCTGTGCACATGCAGACACACACATGTGTGCATGCCCCCGTTCCCCTGACGTGGCCTGAAGAGGGTCAAGGGGTGGCACGGACCTTCGCAGCCGAGCGTGGTGACCTCGGCGAAAGGGTTGTCGCAGCGGTTGCACTGGCGGCCGATGACGCCGGGTTTGCAGGCACACTGCCCGGTGTCCACGTCACAGGCCCGGCTGTGGGAGCCGTGTGGGAAGCAGTCACACGGCAGGCAGGCGTCTTGGTCTGGGGGCCTGTAGTGATTCTCCTGCAAATGCCAGAAGCAGCACATGGAATTTCAGATGCCAGCGGAGGCCCTTCTCCTGGAAGATGCTTCCCGGGCAATGTCAAGGTTCCAGCCTGGCCTCTGAGACGCCCTGCGCTGTCCTCTGCCCACGTGCCCCGAGCCATGCCAGATGGGGTGGGTACGTTCTCCAGGAAAGCACCCCCCTCTCATTTCTTAGCAAATGCTGCTTATCGTGGCCACCTGCATATTTGTCCCCAGGGATTCAAATGGAGATACAGGTTTGAGGATGGCCCTTACAGCACTTTTTTCTTTTTCTTTTTTGGAAATCGTAAGAAATTAAAGTTGCCTGAACGTCTGCCAATGGGCAGGTCAGGGTGAGTGTCAAAAGCATGGGCTTCAGATTTGGAAAGTCCAGGGTTTATGTCCAGCTCAGCAGTTCACTGGCCACTCCACCCTTGCCAGGTCACTCCAGCGCCCCACCCACACTGAAAAATGGGACAGGCTGTGACTCGGGCAGACTCGTGGCCAGTGTCCAGACTTCCGTGTCAGGCAGGGACACGGAACTGTCCATCCGCACAGGGGGTTTCCAACGTGTATGAATTAGTGCCTGGGAGGAGACACTAAAACGTTAGCAGTCACCCTGGAAGGGAAGATGGGCGTCACTGTCACCTTTTAAATTCCTTTCTGCATTTTCTATAGCTATTTTTATGAGAAAAAAAATTCTAGGCACATTTTCCCCAAATAGCCTCCCCACGGTCCTCCCACTCTGCTGCCCACGGATGCCACAGCTGCCACTTCCTCCACGTGGCTCGCCCAGTCCTGGTCCCCTATGGCCGTTGTGATTTTTCATTTAAGCGTTTCAGGAGACAAGTCATGTTTCAGAAGCACTGCGGACCACGAGGGACATTACAGATGTTAAACAGATCACCGGGGAGCGTCAGAATTGTGCCCCGTGATGGCAGGTTCCTGTCTTATGGTGGCGTGTGTCCCTCAGCAAGTGGCTACTGTCACCAGCAGACCTTTCCTTTGGGTTTCCAGCTACCAGAAGCTCAATGGCAGTTGTCAGCAGGACTCTGAAGGTCCTTCCAGGAACCGAGGGGGGTGGGGGCTTTGTATGATTTGGGCTGAGAACATCCTGGCATGTTCAGAGACACGAGCAGGTGAGCTCAGTGCTACACACGCGAATTACAGACACCCGACATGACGTGTAAGCAAGGCTTTTCATATTTTAAAGTTTTGGCCATCATCAAGTGCTGGTTTAATAAAAGACCAGGAAAAGGACCAACTAGGAGAATCGTGGCAGCTGCCGAAAATGAGCCAACCTCACAGAAATGGCTCAGTTTCCTGTTATCAACTGGGTGTGGGGCTGAGGACTCTAATTTCCCATAGTCCCAACCAGCTTCCACATGAAAACCAGCCCTGGTGTACTCATAACACCGCGGTGGGCAGCGAACAACCTAATACCACATTAGCGTGTGTGTGTGTGTGTGTGTGTGTGTGTGTGTGTGCGCGCGCGCATGTGTGTGTGTGCGCACGCGTGATTTCCCTGGGCTCAGGATGTGTGTGTGTGTCCAGGTACACGTGTGTGTAGGTGTGTGCGTGCGTGTGCCTGCATGCATGGCCAGCTCCTGGGCTTCGCACCAGAGGTGGGGGTGGGGGATGCATGCCCACGGTCTGCCCGCGGGCCAGGCCTTACCTTGCACTGGCACTGCCCGTTGGTCTTGTTGCAGTCGGGATCAAAACCTTTGCCAACAGCACAGTGGCAGGGTCCGCACACGGGGTTTCCCCACCAGCCTTTGGGGCACGGAAGGTCGACTCTGTGGGGGAGATCAGATGGCAGATGAAAGCTGTTGCAGAACTGTCCTCAGAATGAAAGGACGCCTGCTGGAGGCCTGGAGCCTTGGTCGGCCCGGCTCTGGGCACCTTCCCCCACCTCGAGTGGCCTGTTTCCCCCTGCTTTCCCCGATCCCCAGGACTCTCAAGAATTTCATGCCCCACTCTCAGCCTTGAGGGGCCCCACGTCTGGAAGGGTTCTACCTACAGAACTGGGATTTTTAAATAAATAATTCGTTTGCTCACTTTTTCCTTCTACCTAGAGGACACAGGTGACTACCCCACCCAGGCTTCTGTTAGCATGACGTCACCACGTTCACTGTGCCCCAGCACCCACACCATGAGGCCTGGCTCACAGGGGCTCAGCGATAACTGACCCTACTGCCGGGCTGGCTTTTCACGCCCCCTGCCCCACACAGAGCAGACTGAGCCCAGCTGCCCTGGGCAACGCCCCCTGAGACCCGGGGCGTCTGCCAGCTCGAGGACGCTGAACAAGGGCTTCTGCAGCCTCCATAGTTCCCCAGGTCCAAGAGGTCAAACACTAGCCACGTCTCACGGACACTCAGAATAGCCTGTCTATGCATGTGCCATGTGCCTTAGTCAGCTCCATGCAGTCACGGGCTGGACCCGGTGGGCTCAGAATCATTAGACCCACCCAGTCCTGCCCCACGAGCCAGCCCTGGCAGAGCCCGGCAGGCCCTGAGATGAGCCACATGGATGATGGCGAGGCCAGGCCATCCTACCTCTGCCCCAGGCCTGATGGCTCACCTGAGTGCCACCTGCAGCCCCGCCTGCCCACAGGATGCTCCCCAAGTACCCCTCAGGCTCCTCAACATGAAGCCCTGCCCTGTGCTTACTATCCGGGCTAATGGCATTCCATCCGGCCACCCGACGACCTCGCCTGCCCTGTCGCTCACCTGACAAGCAATTACTAAGTATTGACTGTGTTCACATCAGGCCATGAAAACGACCAGGGCAGGGTTCCTGGGCCCGAAGCGCCAGCTTGGTGTACACGGATCTGCAGGGTGGGGACCCCAGAGCCTTCGTGAACCCCTTCCCCTCACTACTTCCTGAGCTCTGAGTACCTGCAGTGCCAGGCCTCGGGGACCCTGCTCCAGCCTCTGAGCTGGTCCCCCCGTCTCCAGCTCCTGCCCGCTCCGTGTTCCATGTGGGAGCTGGGGGCCCCTGGGACCCAGACCTGATCCTGCCACATTTCTGCTGGCCCCATGGCCCCCCAAAAGCTGAGATCTGTTCCCACTTACAGGGCAGGACCCGTCCCAGGCCTGTCTGCCCCCCTCCCCCCCAGAGCAGGATATGCCCAGGACGGCATGGGCCTCCAGGACTGACCCACTGAGCCCTCAGGCTAGCCTCGGCCCATCACTGCTCCACTGGCTTGTCCCTGAAACACCCTCCCCTGCCTCCTATCCAGCTGTCATCCAGCAGCCACGTGGTGCCCATCCTTCCATGAGATCACAAGCCCATGGGCACAGCTGCATCTTGTTCACAGGTGGGGTCCCGGAATGTCAAAGAGCGGAGCGAGGCGTCCCTGCCGGGTGGACAAAGCTGACACCTACGCAGCTCCTGCATCAGGATGGCGGCCAGCACTGGCTAAGAGCCACCAGCTGTGACCTCCAAAGTGCCCGCTCTGGAAGAAAGTGCTTTACCTGCGATGACTTCACACCTGGGCTCTGGGCACCAGGACTTACATGCACATCAGACACGACTTGAGAGATAAAGTATTTCCTGTCGTTACACTCATCTTCTCATTTGCCGGCTTTGTGCACGGCGGGCTTTGCACAAAGTAGATAAACGACTTTGTTGTTGTATGTTTCTGGAGTGGAAATGTGCTTAGATGGGGTCAGTGTGAGACGCTCAATTTGATTCTCGTTTGTTTCATGCCAAATTTGAAAAAAATACAATAGGTCCTTAACCCAGAAGTAGATGTATTTTAGGGTGTATTTAAATAACCAAGAGGAGAAACGATGTCTACAGAGATGTGGCTGTGTGGCCTTGAAAGGGTGCCCGCTTACCTGTTCTCACAGTACTGCCCGTAGTGGCTGGACCCGCACTCACACACATAGCCCTGCGGGGCGCTGGGGCTGCGCACGCAAGCCGCGACGTGCTCGCAGGGGTTCAGGTGACACACGTCCACACACTTCTTTCCAAAGTACCCTGGGGGGACAGGCCAGCATTACCCCCCCGCCAGAACCCGCCTCTGGCACTGCAGGTCACCTGCCAGAGCCAGACCCTCTACGTGAAGACATCTCAGCCGTCTTTCTTCCCCAAGACTTGCCTTTCCAGGCTCGTCGGTGGAGGGGAGCCGCAGGGGCACCCTGGAGCCATGGGAAACACAACCATTCAGTGGGCGAGGCTTGGAAAGGCAGAGACAACAGCCTCCCAAGCCCCACTACGCAGGAGGGTGGGAGCCGTGGGCAGAGGGTCCCCGCCACCGCAGGGCACATGGCGTATGGGTGCCAGCGGAGCACGACCGCGGTGCCGCCAAATTCAGAGGCAAACACTGAATGCATCCTTTTAAAAAATGTGTCTTTTTCCCTAATTCTTTCCCTCAGCTCATCATGAGTCCCGAGGGTGAAGCCTGGAGGGTCTCCTCTGCCGCAAGTAAAGAACCAACAGGGGGATGCATTTTAAGAAGAGAAGGCCCGCTCCCTGGTTGCAAACCACAGCGCAGGGCTCCACAGGCCACGGAGAGCTGACGGGGGCGCCGACGCCCCTCTGAAGGCTTCCTCGATGCATTTTAAACAATAAAAGCATCATCCTCTGCTGATGGGCATCAGGAGAGAGGGAGTGTGGGTGCAGGGGCTCCCACCTTTGTCACAGATGCAGGCGTAGCTGTCCCAGGCGTCACGGCAGCGACTGTGCTGAGGGCAGGGGCTGGAGGCGCACTGGTCCCCCACGTCACAGCCGTCCTTCACCCTGACCTTCAGGGCATCATCCATGTTCAGCATGGCGATGTTGGTGGACGTCTCCCCCATTCTTACTCCCTGTGTTAAGAAAGAGCAGCCGGACTCGGTCCTGTGGCCTCGGGGCCGGAGGAACCCCGAAAGCTAGCTGGAGGTTAAGGACCCCAAATTCTGTCCAGTCCCTTGTCTCTAAAGTGATACTTCCTTTATCTACGGAGCTGGGACTGGTGGGGTGAGAGGCGCAGCGAAGTGGGGTGACGGCCGGAACGAGGTCACTTCTGCCTCCACCAAGTTGTGTTCCAGGCAGGGAGACAGGCCCCCCCGGAAATACAGACAGATGCTTCCATGTTCCAGTAATTCCATGTAAGCGTCACGAGGCAAAATAAATGAGGGTCACGGGAAGCGTGACGGTGGGTGACAGGGGGCAAGGCAGCTCACAGGACGGGGGGCGGCTGTGCGAGGGCCCCGGGCACAGGGGCCGCCACGCAAGGCGGGTTCCAGGGCAGGAGGCCCGTGGCTGGAGCGGGGTTCAGAGAACACACCACGTAGATCACCAGGGTGAGGGGGGTATCGAGGCCAAGGAATATGAGGAGCTTACTTCCCTGCGGTGCGAGGCCTGGGGGCGAGGGCAGGGGCTGAGGGCTGAGCTGCTCTATAAACAGCTCTCTCAGCTGCTGCCGGAGCACCTGGATGAGGGGACACGAGTGGGTCCCGCTCGCGGAAGCATGGGGGGGACTGGGAGGGGCTGGTGGAGGCGGCGAGGGGCCGATTCTGGACCCACCATGAAGGCGGAGCTGCAGGTGGCCCAGCGTGACACGGTGGCAGGGCCTGTAGAGGGAGAACGCCAGGAGGCGTGGGGAGGACGGTCCGAGCTGGAAACGGAACTTGTTAGGGCTGGGCTGGCTCTTAGACAAATTATTCGTTTCCTGCAAGCTAACGGGCTGACCAACGGCACCACGTGTGGGGCTGGCGGCCCCAGCCAGCCGTAAGGGGCAGGCCCCACGCCCTCGGCCATACCTGCATGCAGCCCCGGAAACCGCGGCGCACCGAGACCTTATCTTCAGACACGCCCCCCACCACGATGGTCCTCATCTTCAGCCCCGGAAGCTGGTTCCCAATCTGCACTGTGTCCTGTGAAGGGGGGAGACAGGCTACATCCACCATTCTGGAAACATCTTCCTGCTGGCTGAAAACAACGTGCTGGAAGGCTAAAACGCAGTTGTTTTGGCAAACTCCCCAGAGCATGAGGATAGGCGGGCCTTTAAACGGACAGCAGGCTGGGCTCCACCTTGCCGGTGCAGAACATGGCTGTCTGTGTATGACAGACAGGGTGCGGGAACTAGGACAGACACACGTCCACATCTCAGCCCAGTAAAGACGGCCAGCTGGGGGTATGTGGGCAACTCTCCCGCCTCCATAACAGGCACCATGAACAAGCCACTGTGCACGGAAGAGCTTGTTAAATTAGGAAGATGGCAGCAAATGGAAAGTCATGTCTGCTCTTAGGGGAATCTAAGAAAATCTCAGCCAGGCCCTCAGGCCCAGGAAGACGTACCCGTGGGATATGACAGCTGTTTATTCTCAGAACCAGGTGTACTACAAGCCTGGACGCCAAGAGTGCTTAACAATCACTGTGAATTGTGTGGGCGTCCCGTTAAAAAAAAGGTCTCTTGTTACCTGGCTGCAAACCATGGAAATCCATGTGGCTCAGTAAGTGTTCTCGGAGTGTACCCCACCTGGGACACCACTTGCCCACCTGGGACGGGTGTACCTCTCTGCTGTCCCATGGCCCCTTCTGGTGCCTGGGTCTCACTGCTTAGCCACCTTCATGCACCGTCCACTCTGAGGGCAAGGACCAATGCGTTGTTTATCTTTGTACCCCAGAGACATGGTGCTGAGCACACAGTCGTCACACTGGACAGCTTTGCTACAAGAAACCACTGCTGAAGGTGCCAAAGGCACCATGATGGGACACACAGGTGCAAGTAATTCAATTCCTGATTCTAGGAGTGACCATCTGGAAGGGGGATGAGGTGCAGATCCGGTGACCTCAGCACAAGGTAGAATTTGAGACCTGACTTCGGGGGCGGGGGAGTGCACCCAGAATGTGCGTCTCCAATCCCCAAGGACTCTTGCAGGTCCTGGCACATACAAGGGTCACCCTGTTTTCCTACGGACCCCATGAAGGGGTCTGTTCCAAAGAGGGTGCAGATGCGAACTCACCTGGTCCATCCCGTAGTCCAAGGTCATGACCGCCAGGTACTTGATGTCTTTGCCCTCCTTGGCGCTCTTCAGTTCTATTAACAGGTGATGCCACTCCCCATCAGTCACACGGGACCTGGACAGCCTCATGGACGCCACGTCTGAGGGGCCGTGGGATACCTCAAACTGGATGTAGTTGTTTAGAATCTGTAGGGCGGGGAGAGCCATACCAATCGATGTGATGACAACAAAATAGAAAAGACTTCAGTCACTTAAATAACCAAGTCATGCAGGCAGACTTACTACAGGGCACTGCATCAAAGATGGACTTAATTTAAAAGATGGACTTAAATTAAAATTAGGTCAAGTTTAATTTCTTGTTGCCTGTGATACTCTTCAGAATTACATGCCCTTTTCTATGGTAAGAAGTGTCGAATGCTGACAGAGGTCAAGGAGGATAATGCCCATTAGACTTAAGTATTGGGGACAACCACAGATTCAGGTGACTACTGGGCTCTTATTTTGGATGGAAATGTTACACTTTAGGAGACAAAATCCAGGCCTCCATGTTTAACTATAAGTACAAAAAAAAAGAAAAGAAAAGAAAAGAAAATAACCTTATAACTAACCTAAGGTACTCATGTGTAAAGATAATGTCAATTAAGATAGAGTAGATAAAAAATAAATAACTATTAATTCACTGTTTATAAGGGACACACCTCAAACATAAGGATACAGCAAAGTTGAAACTAGAAGGATAGTAAAAGATCTATTAGTTAAACACCAACCAAAACAAAGCTGGTGTATAGCTACAATAATATGAAACAAAGTAGATTAAGGCAAAATTAATTACTAGCAATCAAGAGGATTTTCATAATGGTAACAGTCAATTTTCCAGGAAGATAAAACAATTCTAAATTTGTACACGCCTAATAACATAGCCTCAAAAGCTACAAGGCAAAAATTGACAGAACTAAGAGATAAATCCGCAATCAAGGTTGGATATTTTTAACTCACCTCTCTCAGTAACTGTGAAGACAAACAGACCCAAAAAAAAGGGGGGAAAAAAGAGAAAGCAATAATGATATAGATTTGGATGCCACAATGAACAAGCCTCACCTACTTGACATACACAGAACATTACAAAACACATCTTCAGAGCACACATTCTTTTCAACTATCGCTGGGACGGTCACAAAAATGACCAAATGCTGGGCTGCAAAGCCAGTTTGAGCACATTTCAAAGGTCTGAGAGCCTACAGCATACGTTCACTGACCTGCAATTACGCTAGAAACAATGACAAAATGATTGGCTATAAATGCTACCTGTTTGCTAATTCAGAGCTATACTTCTTAAATACCCGCATGCATCAAAGCAGAACTAGCGATGGAAAGTAGAAAATATTTTTATCACAACGATAATGCAACTAAGAATGCATTTTGGGTTTTAGTTTCAATGGGTAGTCAACTGAAGATAATTTTTAACCTTTTTGTCCTTTGTTTCCTTTTGTTCCACAGGCATTTGAGCCAATTAATTTCCATTTGCCACTTTCTTTCACTGTCCTGACTAACAAAACCCAAAGCCAGCAGACCAGCAATAAAAGCAACATATGTCTACACACAAAAGTGATACCTGCAGGACGAATCTCAGGACCATGGGCAGTAACTGCTTGTCACCTTAGGTCTGTCACCAGATTTAGGAGAAGCAGTCAACACTAGCCAGGTTATCCCGCTTGACAATGCAGGCGGATTCAGGGCGCCTGGAAGCAATTACCCAAATTGGGCTGTAGGGCGGCTGTGAAGCTTGTCTGGCCTGCTGTGGATGCCAAGCAGCTGCGATCCGCTGCCCCACGGAGCCCACAGGGCCTGCCTTCCAAACACATCATGTGGAAATAAAGCTAGAACATTCCTGTAGTGCCCAGGCGACCAGCCTCTGGGACCTGCCCTGGGGTGGCCTTCTGGGCGGCCCCTGGGGTCTGCAGGATCTCCCCAGGGCCACCACTCTTGCCACCCAGTCTTCCACAGGGAGGGGATGGCCGTCGTCCCTGGAAAAAATACCTTACTGCTTGCATTAGCTACCTATAATGTAACCACTCAAACAACACAGGAGTCTGTGGCTTTCAGGGTTGTTCCTGCCGAAGCGTACTTTTTTCCGACAGAGATCCCACTGCCAAAGGACAACTCGCAAGCCCCCATTCATCACCTGAATTGAAAACAGCCAATTTAATTTGTTCCAACAGTGAAACAACCGCAGAGAAAAATGCCATCCCCGGGCAGAACTGTGCTTGCCAAGTTTTGGCCCAGAGCTAGCTTTTGGGCTGCCGGGTAAACTTATGAAATGACAAGTTAATAAGGGAAAAACAATGACAGCTGTAATTATCCCGGATGTACTCTGCACCTTCAGTACGATCTGATGGGTCTGTGCAGGAAATGCTCTGAGTGAGTGAGGGGACAGATGGGCGAGAGAAGGAGGCTTGCTGGGAATCTGAGCCTCTGGGCCCCTTGAGGACCTGTCCTAATTGACCCGGGGCTTATCAGCCCGCTGGAACCGTCAGCATCCTGCCCCTGCTCAGCTCCGACAGGGAGCTCCCCCTGCCACACAGAAGTGTTTCCAGATAGATGGCCCATGGGGGCGAGGAGAGGGTGCTGTGGATACTGTAGGACCTGGGCAAAGAGTGAACCCTGGGACCCAGAGTCCAGGGTCTCTAGGCCTCGGATCCCCTCCCCTGCCCCCCAATGAGAGATTGGAGTGGACAGTCCCGTAAGGGCCACATCACCTCTGACCGTCTCTGACCCCAGCACAGCCTGCCCTGGCTGGGAATTAAGTCCGATCCACACCGGGCAGAACAGGAAGTCCCAGGGCCCAGGGGAGTGAAAGGAAAGGGGTGCAGGGCTCAGTGAGGACGAGAGGGTTACAGCAGAGGGGACCAGGGCCAGCTCGGGGAGGGACTTCCCAGCTGTGGGAGCCTGGAGCAGGCTGTGCTGGATGACAGCAGTGTGTTCAGGCGCGGCCCAGCCCCCAGGCAAAAGAGGAGGCTGGTGTCAGGGCAGAAGCTCCACGTTGCACCGGGGAGTCGGGCCTCGGGCCAGCGTGGGTGGGAGGGAACAACGGACCCGAGGGCAGGTCAGCACTGCTCCCTGGGACGGCACTCAGGTCCGTCACATTCACACACACACACACACACACACACACACACACACACACACACACACTCACACACAGACGTGTACATACTTAAAGGGAAACCTGGAAGAAAGGAGAAAGCCCAGTTATGGAATTCCTTCCAATCAGATGGAACGCCTTGCTCGGGCACAGTCCCCACAGGCTGCTGCCGGGTCGGCGCGGCGAATCAGGTCTGAGAGGCGTCATAAGCCGGGCTTTCGAGAGAGCATCACCTGGGGCGGTCCCCTGATCCGACAGGGGTCAGAGGTGGCGTGTTTACAAGAGCATGTCCTGTCTGCTGTCACTGCAGACAGAACGGCCCAGGGCCCGGCTGGGCGAGCCTGCCGTCCACACCCGGGGTTCCCCTGGTCGCCTCACACAGCAGCGTCTCCTGGACCCCCAAATAGCCCAAACCGCAGGCTGCAGGGGAGGGCGAGAACTAACCCCTTCTCACCTCCAGCAGAGACAGGTAGAGGCAGACGGCAGCCCACGAAAGAAGACCTGGGCATGTTTCACAATTTAAAGTAACTTTTTTCTTTTTAAATTATCACTGTTCCCTCAAATGAAATATCTATGGAGCTGGGAGGTGTAGGGGAACTATCTGTGACACAGAGAAAAGAGGGAGCAGAGTGCATTAAAATAATCTTTTAAAAGTTTTCAGGAACCCTACTGCTTATCCGATGTTTTAAATAAACAACGCAGTAAAGACCAAAGCGATTAAGAAAACGCACATGTAAGGCAATTCAAGTTTTGGGGAGACTTTCAGGAAACTTGTAGCTTAGCCCAGAAGTAACCACCGATGGAAGCCTGTTACGTGCACCTGAAGGTGCTCACCGCCTCCTTTGGGCCTGAGTGCCCGGGGCCCAGAGCTGCTGTCTAGAACACACCGTGCTGAGACCGGAGGAGGGGGGTCACGGGGCTCCCTGAGCAGCGCACGTACCCCATCTCCTGGGCATGCAGGAGGAGAGGGCTGCAACGGACCCCGCCAGGGGCATCCCAGCCGCGCACGGCTTTCCTTGCACCTTCCCGGTGACTGAACACGACAACGCTGAAGGCTCACATTTCCTCTCTTCCTCACACTGGGGAGCCCACCAGGCCGGCATGGGGACCAAGTGGCGAGGTGCCCGCTGTGTGCGCTGGGAAGCCCCTGCTTCCAAAAGGTGCTGCCGAGCGCTCAGGTTATATCACTCAGGTGCACACCTGTCCTGAGGGGCCCGGGGCGGGGGCATGGTTCTCTCACCTGGAGATGGAGCCTGGAGGACACGCCTGCCGTGGCCTCCATCAGCACACCGTCCGCCTTCCTCGTCCGGAACATGAGCCCCAGGTACCAGGGCACGGAGATGGTGATGTCCAGGTCGCTCCAGGACACGACGCTCTCTCCGCTGAAGCGCTGGGGGTGAGGCATGACTGTGGACACAGACACGGGGCCTCCTGAAGTGACGCGGGGGCGGAGGGCAGGAAACCCCAGGCCTTGATCGCTTTCCTGCAAAGGCTGGTCTTGGACTTCCACTAGTACAGCATCTAACCCTCTGAATCCAAGAGTCCTGAGCTCTGCAGGAGCTACCACCCAGGACATGTGCCACCTTTCTGGGGAGTAAGGGCAAGGTTTGGGGGGTTCGTAACCATGGCCAGGACATGGCAAGGGGCTCTCAGGTTGGACAACAGACGGGGGCAGAAGGGGCAGCTCAGGATCCCTGGGCTCAGACGACAAGATGCTGGGGGGCCCTGTGAGCCCAGCCTACCTGCCCCTCCCACACCGGCCAGGTAGGAGCCCAGAGGCAGGAGCAGAGGCTGTATGGAGGACCGTCTCCTGGTGGGACAGGCTGAGCCCGCAGTGAACACGGCACATGTGTGCCTGCATACACACACTTCAGCCTGAGGCCCGACATGCCTACTGTCAGCTGGTATCTGGGGTGGGTTTCCAACCCCAGGGGCGGCAAGGCCACTGGCCAGCCAAGGGCTCCCAGGTAGTTTGGGGGACCAGGGAGGTGACAACATGGGGACTAACAGCTCCGTCCAGTCTGTTACGCTTAGAAAAACTGTGAGTGACAAACAGACCACTCGGTCGGCACACCACCATGGCAGACCGAGGACCGCATCCCTCGGGACGCCTGCGTATGGCAGCCAGTGGCCCAGGCTGGGACCTCCCCGACTCCTCCAGGCGGGATGGCACCGTCATCACACAAGGTCTCCAGAGGAGCCCAACAGCACAGGGCTCGCCAGGTGGGGGCTGGCTCTGGGGGTGACAGCCTCATGAACACTGGGCGTCTGTTTCCTGCTCTTATGAACCCAAACCCTGGCAGCTGCTCTCGCTGGCACTGCAGCCGGGACTCACGGCCTCCATAACAGGAACTCTATGGGCGTGGGCGGTCATCATGCCATGTCCACCCAGGCCTGTGTCCTCCTGGTGGCGGCAGCTTCCTGCACACGCCGGTCAGCTGGGGCTGGGCCTAACTGACCTACAGGGCCCCCAGGAGCCCGGCCCGCCTGCTGCCGGAAAACAGACCCAACGAGCCTCGAAAGGTGCCGGCTGCTTTGTGACACACAAGGACAAGGATTGCGGATGTGACACAATCCCACATCTACATGCTTCCACTCCGAAAGTAACAGCCCTGAGCAGGGTGGGTAGTGCTGGCCCGGGAAGCCTGCCACAGGCCCCGCCCCTCTCACCAGCGGGTGGAGTGAACTCTGCTGACACTCTAATTCCCACCTACATCTGGTTCATCGGCTCCTTTGAGAATCTGAGGAAAGCCACGGACCACATCCCCAAAACTCACACACAGACCCCCAGCCATGGCCGAGGTGAAGAGCGCCTGAATTCCAGAGAGGTGGAGCCCGTCAGACCAGCTGCGCCCTGCCTGGGGACATCACTGGTGCTCGGGGAGGGGGGCAGGTGTCCATCCTATTCCCGAGGATTTGGGATCAGCGGGCAGCTCCAGGGCAGGACTTCTCAGAGCTAATGAGCACTGGGCATTGCCAAAGGCGGGTCCAGGGAGCGCGCCCAAACTTATCTGGCCTCAACCACGCCTTAGGTTTACCTTAGGTTTACAGAGTGTTATGATTTTTACAATGGTGAGAATTGTTTAAAGCCAGTGTCTACAACTGCGAACTAGATGCAGGGGTGGGAGGGGGTGCGGAGCCCTGCCTCGATGCCCACAACACGGTCCA